TCTTGATTCTGAATATCAGCTAAACCTGGCGGTGGCGGCGGTGGCGGCAGCAGCAGGCAAAAGAGCATGAGGACAACGCGGGACCATCGTGGATCCCGGTACATAAGACAAGGAAAAGTAGTTGCATTTACATGCCAGAAACTGGTTCAAGCTTATAGGATGAAACAAAGCCGAACCTCCAATCGAACCGCGCCCGCTCGTTGCATCGACACCCATGCTTACACAAGATACTACGCCTGTGGCCATGCCAGGCTGCTTTTTTGGCAGGGGAAGGCTTCGAGGACGAGAGCGAGGATGAGCAACATGAAGCGGAAAGGACATCATGTAACGGAGAGGGAGCACGGGCAGCGGCAGGTACTTTGCTTTGCCATCATGGCCCGCACTCGCAGGATAGAAAGGGAAGCGTTGGACCTTGTAGCGCCGTTCTCGGAAATCTAAGCGAAGCGCTAGCAGATGTGCAGATATGCGGTGACTTTCGTACATGGCCAGAACTCGAGCACACCAAGCCCAAAACTCGAGGCAGGCATAGATGGACAGCTTTCAGCAGAAGCAGTTCCATTTGCGCCTGGGCTGTCTTGCGATTCGAGTGACTTGGCGTTCTTCTTGTTTAGGTGGGTCAACATCGGAGTTTCAGTTCACCATTTCGGTGATGCTGGTGGACCATGGACGGGCATCATTTACCTTCCCATGATGGAACGCTTTGCTGAAAATCTTTGGAGTCGTGTGTGGTTCGGTCGCCCGTGCCCGAGGTGCCAATCGGCAGCTTTGATGCGCACGGCCGAGACGTCTCGTAGTGGCAGCCTCGCTCACAGGCTGCCAGTCCTGCAACAAAGGCCTTCAGCCCGTTGGAAAACATCGCCGAGGAGGAAGAGATGAAGATACCCTGAACACCTGCTGCAATTTTACATGCAGGTATGTCTAGCAGGCTGTCACGGAAGCATGACGCCCGCACATTTTAAGGTTGTAGCCGGGATGGTGTTGTCGTTCGCTTTCGTGTGGTGTGTCGTAATGACATTCGAGACCGAGTCATGAAGTCTGTTCATTTGTGTTTCCGAAACATCTCGCTCGACCTGGAAAGGGACTAAAGGGACTGACAGACGCTCAAGAACAGGTAGGCGCCTGTGCTACTTCAGAGCTGCTCTGCCTTCAGGTGCATACTTGCAAGCCACCTTGGAAGATGTCGGGTTGGCCAAGACGATTCTCCGGATACCAGCCGAGTGTCTCGGGCCAACTAGCATCATCGAGCATCGTGTGACGGATGTAGAAGCAGCGCTTGGCAGTGTAGTCAATTGTCCTGCCTATGAATGGCACACGCTGCATCTCCTGCTGAGGGTTCTGTGTGCGTATGTTGCAAGGCATTGCTTCCCCAAGTGCACTGCAGGAACCCGGTAAAGAGAGCACCACGTAGTCACCTGGAAGTTTGCAAACGAAGCACCTTGCTAGTGTCCACTTCCCAGAATTATGGCGGGACCCTGCCACCCTGGCATGAACACCTTTGGTGAGGGAAGATGTGGTGAAGTTCACTGACTACCTCAGAGTTCGAACGTTACCAGCCTCATTACTGCAGTCGGAGGAGCCGACAGGGAGGTGAACTTGCATCTTTCAGCTTGTGTTAGGCTCTTCTCGTTGGCAGGAACTGCTCGATCTCTTCTACCAGGAGCTCCGCAGCACTTTGGCCAGCCAGAGCCTCAGATCGCCGAACAACAACACCTTCGAGACGACAAATTGCAGGTTGTTACCTGGATCGGATCTGCCCAACGTTGCAGGAGGCATCAGAGTGCAAACTTGGAACCGGTGTGAGCCGGGTTTTGGCATGTGACGACTGATGACCGGAGGTTGAACATCGGTTCAAAACTCATCTGCCACCTGGGAGTCCGCATGAGCTGGATGTGGCCTTGGTGCTGCCAATGCTTGCTCGAAAAGTCCCAGACACGACTCTTGCTTCAAAGTTTAGAATGATCTTGACTCTTCGCCGAATCGCAACTTTGAAGGCGTGTGTCATGTTCCAGCCTGAAGGTGCATGCTGGTGCCATTCTTGCGCAGTCAACAGGTTGTTGCCGAAATGATGGTCGGAATATCTGTGTCGTATCGTGTATGTGACTGGTAGTATGTTGAACTTAAGGTCGAGTCAACAGGTCATATGTAACCTGTTTTGGATGCAGTGAAGTGAGCGGCGGGGGGATGCAATGCGGCCAAGCATAGGCAGATGGCCTAAACGTTTGTCAGAGAACTGCATTCCGTGCAGGTATCACATCCTCCCTGCAGATGGGCGTGGGCGGCCGATCATGGTCTTCTTCTCCGAGGCTCTGCGTAATGATGGGGGAGAGAGGGCGAATGTGCGAGAAGACGAAGGCGCCTTCCGGCTTCAAAGGCTTCCTGGACGTGGACTGCACGCTGCAAGGCCAGGAATGCCTGTAGTGTAGTGAAGTCAGTGTAGTCCTGGTCGCGCGATTCAGTCGGCCGGAGGTGATGGGGACTTCTCGCAGGAATCCTGGGAACAGCTTGACAAGGCCCTGACCGACTCTTTCCGAATCTCCTGCGACTTTCGCCATGCCGCCTTCGACGTCCGCTCGAAGGCGCACTTGGCCGTCCCACAGCATCAGAATCGAATCGGGAAAGTAACGAGTTACATTGGTAAGCTACCTTAAAGCAGCTTTCCTGTCAGACGAACGGTGCCCAGAAGTTGACCGGTTGCCAAGCAAATGTCACTAGAAAGCAAGATTTCGCATGACAGCTGCAGAAACAATTTCTTCGATTGCTTCAGTTGTTGATGCAGAAGAACAAGCAAAGTATTTCTAAGCGTGTCAGCATGCCGACATTGATGATGATGCCGCTTTTCACCGCTCCGAGGTGCAGCACTTCAAAGACTGGCCACTTGCAGAGGCTCGGTGGGTCAAGATTGGCGTTTCTTCTAGGGGATTGTACGTGGCCTGTAAACATGATAACTTAGAGCCTTCAGTGCCGTCCCAGCAGGTGGAGCTTTTGCTCCATGCAGCCGTGGGGAAGAAGAAACTGGCTCCGTGGGAGGACATCGCCAAGCTGCTTTGTCCCTGGCTCAAGTTGTAAACACGGAGGACCATCTTGGACCAGCAGAGCATGTCCACTCCCTCGTCTTAGAGAGAAATACCAAGCAGTGGGAAGGCCACGGCTTCGGGCTCGGGTGCCTTCTGGTTTCGACATGTTTCAAGGTTCTGGAAGGCCAGAGCTATTGTTCAATGTAAGAATATATAGTCTTGCTCAAAGAGAGAAACCCGATGGAGGAACCTTGGGGCACAAGAAGAAGGAAAGCTGGACACATCCACACAGGTGCCCTCCTTGCAATCCATATGTGTTGTTACGATTCCGATGTTGCCCTGGTGCAGGGGGCAGAACGGCTATTCCAAGTTCCAGAGAGATTGGGAGGCGTACCAGCACTACGTAGCAGACAAGGACCACGAAGACGAAGCACACTGTTGCAGAAGTTTCCAAGCGGCTTAATGCTCAGGATAAGGGATGGCAAGGACTTTCTACAAGAGTCATAGGCTGAACAGCGAACACTTCGAGGAGAGCTTGCAGATGGCGCAGCCCGGACATCCTGACAGAGATCAACACTGGCCCTCGCTGGGTCCTGCCAGGCCTGCCGCAGAACAGACTCATAGGGCATGCACGATCCGTGGCATGCATGCATGCATGCATGCATGCATACACTGCAGATGTGCGCACGGGGCTATCTTAAATGCCGTGGATCTACATGGAGCAGCCTAATGCAAAAGAACTGGCGTGAAGGCCACAAGCACAGCGGGAGAGAAGGCTGGTTTCTCCTTGTCTCGTGCGTCATGCCTGACTTTGTGCTTGCGCCGCCTCTCGCATGGGGGCGTGTCTGAAAGTTAGACGAGAATCACACTGAAAACAGCGCCCGCTGCTGCTTCGACTAGGACATTTGCGCCAGGCAGTTGAACCTGTCCCAGCAGCTCTATGGTGATGGCGCGAAAAACAGAGCAGAGAGCGTACGCAGCCGCATTCTGAGCTGCTCTTGGGCTGCGGCTCGAAGCGTTGCATTGAAATGCGCGGCTTTTCGACCTGCCTTTACCAAGGCAATCGCAGCAGCAGCAGCGAAGCGAAATATCAGCTTTCAGGTCCAGTTCCGCCAGTTGAAATACCGGAGGACACGGTTTTGTACCCGGGACTCATGCATGAAGGTGGTTGTCCAGCATCAGCATCTGCTTTGGGATTGCATGTGGTTTCTGTGTTTCAAGTTGAGTGTTTGTTTCGTGAGTCTTCTCCAACTTTCATTGACTTTGGCATGCTGGAATCAATATTTTTCCATCGTGTGGAAACCTGATGAAGATCATGCATTCATCGGTGCGAGCAGCCCTGCGCTGCCACACAGGACGCCCGCTTGCAGGTAGAGACCCTGGTGTGACTTGGCCCACAGTGTCGATTCCAGCATCTCGTGCGGCGGCTCAGTCACAGCTCCATCGTCTCAGGTCGGCTTGTCCTGATGGGCTTCGCTTCACCACACTCAAGAGGGTGCTACATGCATTCGACGAGGCAGGCGGCCCAAGCTACGGGACACTTGGCATCTTTGGCGGGTCCTAGAGCCAAGAGCAGTCCTGCTGCTCTCAAGCAGTGGCTAACACTTTTCCTCGTCCCCTTTTGCGCAGCCGCACCTGTAAAGGCGACAGAATCTGTCACTGTGTGGCCGCCAACGTGCAAACCCATTTCTGGTTCAAAGCAGTTGCTGAACACGTGTCAACATGAAGCACGTCCAAATGAGCGCAGCATTCTGTGGTCAAGATCACGACCCTCACTTCAGCAAGCTTTATCGATTCTTCCGCGTACACGCCAAAGGTCGCAGGCTCGATCTGCAGTTTGGGTATGTGGGCCTCAGAGCAGAGATGTAAACCGGCAAGAAGTAAAGCGAACATCCTTCACATCTCGCTTGCGACTTCTGGCCTTCGTGCCCAATGGGTCCAGATGAGTATCGATCATGCCTTGGTGTCCTTGTCCTCTTCGTTGGACAACCCGGATCATGTCGATGATGGGGAGACGGAGCTTGTGCTGCATCGTTCGGTTCCCAGTCAAAGCTGACGAGTTGTTATGCAGCTTTGACAAGCGCTTGATGCCTTTGGCACCATGGCATGAAAGCATGTGCAGGCGAACAATCTTCGCAGCCAACGAAGGCAGCTTGTCTGAGTTTGAACCGCGCAGAGCTCGCGACCACTCATGATGCGCGGGTCAGTTCCGGACTTTAAGCGCAGGGGCAGCTGACCAAAGCTGCGGCCCCTCCCGTCAGCTTGGCTTTCCTGGGCGACACAGACATGGCGCCTTCGAGACCTCGCGATGACCAGCATAAGAGCATGCAGCAAGCCCGCTGTCCTCGTACTCGTCAGAGGTTAACTGGCGAATTTCGTGCCTCGTGATGACATCCAAGGACTTTTCAGCTTCCACCAGAAGTGCAGGTTGTGCTCTCACACACCCGCAGTTATTTTAAGCTGTGCTGTCAGCTGGATCTGAAGGCAGCCCCTGTCATGAATTCAGTAGCTCATGGTGTTCTCGGTTCGTCCAGTTAACCGGTCAGACTTCCTTGGCGACAACATAGCCTAGGTTTCCTGCAAGCTGCGCAATGCCGAGTACAATCCACGCAAAGACGTGAACAAGCTGTTCATCAGGCTCTTTCGTCCGGCAGCTTCAGCTCATATATGGCACACTGGAGCAGTGAACTGCTGCGTGAAGGCCGGGGCACTCGGCTTGCCATTCTTGTACAGGGCCTTTGCACACTCTGAGTTCGTTGGGAAATAATTGCTGAATCGTGGCCCTGGGCTGCATGAACAGGGCTCGGAGGAGGACGCCCGGCAAGCAGCGAGGCGCATAACTCGCATGATCCAGCTGCTCAGTTGCGATTTTGCATGTCTCCTCCGGCTTGCACTCTCCAAGCTGACCTGCGCATGTCGCTTCTGTTCTAAGGAAATGTGGTTACTCCGCTCGCTGCGAGAAGTTCCGCCTGATGGCCCAGGCTGTCGTGACGGATCTTTGTTTTCCGGTTCGCTTGGAGGCGTTAGCCCAGAAGTGGCATCGCCATGTCCTGTATGAGCCGGAGGTATGTGCACTCGCGAAGTTTTATTTAGAGCATCCTCGCTGCTGTGTTTCTGTGGCCTCCAGTGGCAAGGTTAGTGTGTTTGATGCTGCGACTGTCGAGGATGGCCGCGAGGCGATTCGGAAGGTGTACTTGGTTTTCAAAGAGTTTTCGTGCTGACGGGAAAAATGGCCTCTCCGATTAAGATCAATAGCTTCTGCATCTTTTGCAGGCCACAGCGCAACATGGGTCTGCATCGGGGTTGAGTGCTTGCCAGTACCCTTCAAAAACATGACTCGTCCAAGGATTGTCGACCAGGTCTTGAACCCGAGCTTTCCAATGGGACTGGAGGAGCCACCACCTGGGCTGGAGAAGCCACCGCCGGGGCTGGAGGAGCCGCCGCCAGGGCTGGCGCTGCCGCAGGAGCAGTCTCGGCAGTCAGAAGAGGGGCTTTCCTGGTAGCAGTTCTGATTCCATTCCTCAGGACGTCAATGCCCTGGCCTTTCAGTGAGTAATGGCCCTTCAGCTTCGAATCGGCGGTTGTCAAGCCTTATTTATGAAGCCGCCCTGAGCTACACACGTTGAAATCTGATGCAGAGCTGTGGGTTCTGTTAGGTTCTGTCAAAAATCCCAAAAGAAGTAGCAGAGCGAAGTAGCAGAGAGATGTCGTTCTTCTGTGTGCCGCAAAGCCTTCTAGGCTGTCGCACGCAGTCGAAGGGTTTGGAATGGAGCGCCTTTGCAAGGGTCCGCCGGAGACGCCAAAGCGAGAAGACGTCTCATCCGGGGCCTTGTCTAACATGTTTTGTAGCTTGCGGTGCTTGAAGCTGCATCGGACCAATGAGGGCTGGCTCATGCCGCAACGCAGGGTGAGCCGCTCTCGAGTCGCAAGACAGGCTCTAGCTTGCCAAAACAAAAAGCTTGCTTGACGGGCATGTCGCATGTATCCAAGCTTCTGCGCGGAGCCAGGGGAGTCTTCAAGGTGAGCCCTTAGGGGATTCGGTGGTGTCTATGGTAGGGAATCCTGGCAGCTTCCATGTTCGTTCATTGCTTGCTGAGCCCGAGGTCGAGGATCCCGGTCACAGAACTGGCCGTGGCCTGGCTTCGCGAACTTCCATGCTTGCACATGCTGCTCGTACTCTGCGTGCACCGAGGATGGTGAAATTCTCTCTTGCGAGGTGGCTGACTCGACAAGGGGCTGAATCCCTGTTTTGGACATGTTTCACATGACCCGGCCAACGTTTGAATCTGAGGCTCCAGTCAGCAGAGGCATTCCCGAACATGCTGCCCTGCTCGCAGGGTGCTACTTTGCGGGTGCTGCACACACCAGGTTCGGCACTCAACTTTACATCTTTGCCTTTGGGATAGAAGTCTTGCCGGTCCTCTATAGGCCTTTGGGGGTTGTGCTTCTCAGCGTCCCAGGCCATGCAAACGACCATGTCTGCTTGTTTTTGGAGGACCTTGCCGTTCGCCATCCCATCGTTCATGTACTTCGATGATGGTTGCAAGATGAATCGAGGAGGAACGGGCCATGTTCACTGGCGACAATGTGTTCCTCAGTGGCACTCCTGAAGCTCTGCTTTTGGCTCCGGACTTCGGCCTGCTGAGGCTCGGTTGGGGAACGGGAACGTTCCAGGCCCTTGCGATCCAAGCGCTCGAAGCTTTTTTTGCCAAGCTTTGTCTGTGCAGGATCTGCAGCAGTACATGCGATCTCTGAAACTGATGGCCTCACAGGCTGGCATATCTGCGCTCTCGAATAACTCGTGCAATCCTCGCTGAATGTCAAGTTTGCACGGTTGAAGACGTCGATGTCCAGATCAAAGTTTAGTTCACCCCCGGTGCATGAAGGCTCCAGACGTTCTGTATCCTGCTCATGGGCCAGTGCCCTACCAAAGCTGTATCGGAAGACGAGTGAGGCCTGCTGCGACAGTAAGTCGACCAGGCCTGTGGTTTCTGGCACTTCAGAGGTAGCTGCTTGGCTCGTGGCCTCAGCATCCTGCTTTGCTGAAGTGGGTCTATTTCTGCACGTCGGCCGAGCCTTCGCCCGTCATGAGGTTGCAGATGTACATCACGCATCGTGAGGATCGCATCCGCCAGGTTGAGAATGTGCGGACACCTAGCAGCCGCGCGTATTGTCGCATTTTGGTTTTGTCGGCAAAGCTTCAGCTCCAACAGAGGAGCTGCGAGCAGTGGATGTTGGCTTGGACCTGGTGGACCTCGTCAAGCGGGTGTACAAGGCTGACAAGTCACGAAGTCTTTGTTTTGGCGACCTCCCCGAGAGTCTGCTTCACGAGGCGCAGCCGGAAGTGCTGCAGTCGGAGGGGCTGTTCAGGCGTGTACTTGCGAGCCAGTAGTTGAACTGGAGTCCAGAGCGAAGGCGTGCGCTGTTGCCAGGGGTGCTTGCCTCAACACGAAGGACCGATCCCCTGCTCTGCTCAGCTTTGTGCCAGCTTCCATCGCGAGCTGCTGCATGTACAAGACGGCCCGTTCCCTGCTAAGCGACGCGGCAGTAGATGCGTCGAAGGCTTGCTGACATCCGGCAGCACCTTGAGCTCAAGTCTGAGAAGCTGTCTTCCACGAAAACCGTCGAAACTTCTCAAGCCAAAATGCAAGGAGAACTGGATCCAGCCTGGGTTTGTTTGTCAGAAACCTTTCTAAAGCCATAGCTGCACCCAGCATGGGGGTGACGATGGACGAGAACGAGTCAGATCCGGAGCCTGAGCGGACCGCGGGCTTTGGAGATTTTTTTGATGCCATTGCCCTTCGTGGGCTTTTCCGTTGTCTAAGTTTAAAGGTTTGTTACTGCAAGATGTCGAAGGATGTTGCAGGTGCAGGCCACTGCTGCCAAATCCATGCCCTGCCCATCCTCCGATGTTGCGCTGCAGTGAAGGAGCTTGCCGGAAGAGCCTGTTCGACTTCTGGTTGACAGAGAGGACCACCACATCGGTCGCTTGCAGGCCAGCACATCAGTGATGCAGGGAGAAGCAGTGAGACGAAGAGCAGAGACTGGGCGGCTTGCCTTTGGCGTGAGAGGTCTACAGCTACGATCACGTTCCAGCCTTACGGTTGAGGGTTTTCAGTTGCTGCAGCTGTAGCGCAGTGCCCCCGACATGGTTGAAGTGCTATCAGCAGCGCTCATGTTCCGTGCCTGGAAAATCCTCCTGGAAAAGACTTGAGGTGGGGCTGCTTTTCAAAATCTGCGAATTGCTGACCGGCCATGGCGTGGACATCTGTACCGTGCCAACACAGTCAGAAAAGACGCAGGATTACATGACGACACATGCTTCTGCCTTGTGCAGCCTCTGCAAAGGCAGCGCAATCATCAATACGTCAGACAACGGCATTGCATCTATTCTGCACGTATTGGATGTGGTCGACGTCTTCTGAGTTGATTCAATCCTTCACATTGTAGCCCTGGAGGTCATCTTGTTGGAGTAGTTGCAACCCGCATGACCGTGTTTTTGGCTTTTGTGGCGTTTATGATAGTTGTGTTGTGTGTCGTTGTGGTTGTTACTGCTGCTGCTGCTGCTGCTGCTGCTGCTGCTGCTGCTGCTAATGCTAATTCACCTTCTGGTGCTGGCGTCTTTCCTGGGTGTCTCGGCACGTGGTGCGCATCAATACTCGAAGGTCTACAATGAGTTCGAGGTGCGCATCGCTCGCCCGGCAGATACGGTGGGCGTGATGGACTGGTGCCGGATCAAAATAGATTAAGCAGGCAAGCCAGGAAAGGGGAAGCTGGACGGCCTCGTTTATCCCTTGCGATTTTGTTTCAATTTCTAAACCTTCCGGTGCCGAGGTTTTGTCGTATTGAGTCTGGAACCATCAGACTCCATCAGAAAGGCTTCCATTGTTTGCTCGACGTTGTGGTGACCTTGTCAGACTCTTGAACCTGCTGGCCAGACATGCGACTCAGGTGCCGTGAGTTGGAGGAGATGTTGGAGAAGACCCGAGGCACTGTGATGCACAGCGTTGATTGCGCAGGATTGCTTGACAATTGAATGCATGCAGTTAAAGTTGAAAAAGCCGGCATGTTGCAAGTTTACTTTTGCTGCCCGTCTTCCCGACATTTTGTTCCGAATGTCGAGTGAACGTTGCTTTTGTTCGGTGATCAGTTGAACTTCCTGCCCTTTCGTCGACTTGTTTGTTGGTATCCTGAATGTCTTGAAACGGACAGGTTTGTGACACAAGAAGCTTTTAAGGAGGAGGTTCTCGCAATGAGACTGCTTCAAGCAAGCCACGACATTCGACACTTTATCGTTCTCCCCATTCTGGGAACAAGGATAGTTTTTTCATGGCTGCCAAGCCTCATGCTTCGAGTTCCCGATCACCTACACAGTGGTGGCATTGTCGTCGAATATCGTGTTCATGTCAAAATTTGTATCCTTTTTGAAGTTGGATTTGCTGTGTCTTGTTAGTCTCGGTAGTGCTGCATGTGGTGCTGTTGATGGTAGTTGTAGGTCCTGCCTTCGACAACTCTCTCGTCGCCGTCTCCAAGCGCCTCTCGGTGAATCCTGACCTGGTCAGTGCTGCTCGGACGCATGGGCATGACGCGATTGCTGCTCCAGGAGCCGCCTGCACTTGTTACTCCGACGTTTAAGTGCTGGCAAAGCAGATCAATTTGCGAACAATCGACAATAGTGGGAATGGTTGAAGAGTACGTGGAATCTTTGCAGGCTGTAATGGTACAATTTACTGGCTTAGCTTGTTACGAGCAATGGACTGGCGAGGTTGTGACATTCAAGGAAGTTCAAGCCAGCAGCGAGCCAAAGCCTCAGCCGACGCAGCTGGGGAAGTTGTGAGAAAGGGAGAGGTGTTTCTGCACAGGGAGGAGCCCCGCAAGTGAAGAAGCTTGAACAGACAGCCTCATTGAACCGGCAGAAACCTGCAATTTTTCACCATTGTCAGTGTCCTACGTGCAGCTACTTCATGTCAGTGGGTTGCCGGTTGCAGCATCGCGACTGCTACTGTTGCTGCGTTGTTGCTGCTTCTTTTTCCATGGTGCGGATTCTGTCCCTCCGGCGACGACCGTGAGGGCTAGCCCACTGCGTATATTACTACAGGTACTGCTACTACCACTACCACTACCTCTACCAC